CCAGTGACACACTTCCTTCAATGAGACCATACCTCCTAATCCTTTCAAATAGTGACACTCCCTGGTGACCAAGCATTTACATATATGAACCTGTGGGGACCATTCTTGTTCAGACCACCACAGCTGCCTACACCGAGAGCTGGCAGGAAGCCAGTTGGATAATCACTGTATACTTCTGTGACTTTGGTAGCATAACCAATGCTATTGGTGATGACACTGCCCATCTGGTGCTTGTGTGAGCATTCTCTCCCTCCTGGGTTTCTGTTCCTTAAAGACTGCTTCAGCCAGCTGGCTATGAAGTCTTTGAGCTCTAAAGGGCTCTAATGTTGTTTTCCTGTTCACAGCTCACCTTGGCCCTTACAGCATTCACGTGGAAGGATCACTGCCAGGTGCTAAGCTGAAAATGGGATAGAGGAAGGGAAAGAAAGGCCACTTGGTGACATGTGGCACATTTGTTTGAGCTAAGTGAAGGGTTAGAGCCACATTTCCAGCTGCAAAAGTAAGCAAAGCTCACAGCAGCTAAGGAGGCTGTGTGATTCCCCGGCTCTGAACGGGAGTGCATAAACTACATACAGTTCACCAACGATGGGCATTCCTTCTGAGAAATCATCAGTAGATGATTTATTGTTATGAGCACAATAGAATATACTACACCAGTATAGATGTTGTAGCCTCCCTTTCTACCTAAGCTGTATGCTGTAGCCATCCTGCTAGATAATAAACCTATGAACAGTGTTCCGGTACTGCTGCCATGGCTACTGTACCGCAACAGTCTTTGTCTGCTGCACATAGGAAAGGTGTGGTAAAATACTGGGTGGTGGGAAGGTTGTTTTTTTTTTTTTTTTCATTATAACCTTTTTTCCCACTGTAATCTTAGGGAAACTACTATATGCAATTTGTCTCTAACCAGCATATTGCTATGCAGCTCATGACTGTATCAGCCTCGGCAATTAAAGTGTAATAAGAAATGCTCAGAAAACCCTAGCTTTCCCTCCTTGATAGCCTCAAATTTTATCCCTAGCAAATTCTTTATAATCTGAAAATCTAATGGGAAGCACTGTCTGTGGGGAAATTGTACCATAATGATGGGGCCATATTCAAACCTTTTTTTTTTCCATACAAACTCATTTTAATTCTCCCAATGATGCTGGCCTCAAAAGAGGAGCTGAGAAGCGTTCTCATCTGCTGTAGGATTTGGTCCTGTTGGTATTGGTTTTTGTTTTTCTTAAATGTTTGTTATTCACTAGTGAGGATGTGTGGGCCTGCAGCTCTCTTTGTAGGAAAGCTGTTTGTTTTTATTGTGGGAAAATACACCTAAAAGAAGATTTCCCATTTTAATCCGTCTTAAGGGTGTGGTTTGCAGGCATTGAGCACTCATGTTGGGCAAGCGTCACCAGCACCCATCTCTAGGACTTTTCTTCTTCCTCAGCGGAAACTGCACTCAGTTTCCTGGTCTAGCTGTTCTATTTTTGATTCGTGTATGTGGGTTTTGTTTTGCTTTGCTTTTTGAGACATGGTTTCTCCAGGTTAGCCTTAAACCTTCGCTACTCTTACATCAGCCTCCTGAGTGCTGGAATTACAGGCATGTGCCACCATATTTGACGAGCTTCCTTTTACAATTATGTATCTTTAAGGTGTGCGGTAAGACATTTTCACATCACTGCATGTATGTAGTGAAATCTCACTTAGTTACCCTTTGTGTGAGTGTATGTACGTATGTGTGAACATGTACTTTTTAAAATTAAATTTGAGGTTAGCATATAAGGTATTGAATTTCATCATGGCATCCCCCTACATGGGAAGAACATATACTTTTGGAAATCTGTGTTGGCCTTAGCGCTCTAGGTTTGCTCCTCCCACATACACCTGAGTCTGCCGAAGTTACTCCATTTCCATTGCTGACCTGTGCCTGCTAGCCTTTGCACTTTCCGTTCTCCCCGCTGCAAGTACCTCCCCACTCTGTCACATGATCTGGCTGCTCTAGGAGCCTCCTAAGAGGCCCAGTAAAGCATGTGTGCTTTTGCTACTGCCCTGTTTCTAGCTCCAGTGTCTTTCTTTAAGATCCAGCTGTATTGTAACCTGTGTCAGAATACAGCCTTGGGTGTTCCCAATTCCTCCTCCAGAGAGCACTTCAGGTTACTTCACTGTCTACAGTGCCACTGTGAATCTGAGCGTACAAACATCTTTTCCCGTCTCTCCCTGCTTTCCTTCCTTCTGGATGTATACCCAAAAATGGAATCGCTGGCTCTAGGTCTAATTTTTTGGGAAGTTCACTATACTGTTTCCATAGCAGCTGCATCATTTTACATCCTATCAGAGTGTGTAAGGGTTCCAGTTTCCTCAACTCTTTGCCAGAACTTGCATTCTCTGATTAATTCTTCACCTATATGTGCATGTATATGAACACACATACACACACACTAAATATGTGCTAGTCGTCATGGTCCTGGTTTTATTTAAATTATAGACTCATTTAATAAGTTTAGTCCTGCTTGAGGGTTTTTTTTTTACTTGTGATGTTTTAGAAAGTTATTATAGGTAAGTTGTTTTTCAATATTATTTATCCCATAAATAAATGAATAAAAATTGTCTATAATGGCCATTTAGTTTTTCAGTATCTATGAGGTCTTTTTATTTTTTTATGTCATTTTTATGCAGTCAATCAAACAATCCACAAATAGCAGGGCTCTCTACTTCTAGAAGCTGGCAGTTTAGCTTGAGAAGTTTAAATACATTAAAATTATGAATTTAAAAGATGTTTATGTTTCTGTTAGATATATTAGTTATTTATTTAATTAAGAAGATAAATAGTGCAGCACCAGATGTGGTTATTAAATATGATAAGGAAATGAAAGAAATAGATGTCAGTGTGGTTAATTAAAGAAGCAGCTGCCTAAACAAGGAAGCTGCCACATGCTCAGGCCCTGGCCGAGCTGAGCTCTGACTGCCAGCCAGCAGCCTGCAAGGCTCATACTCCTGACATTTTGCTCAGAGCCAGTCTGGTTGTGACTTTTTGTGTGTGGTCATTTACAGTGAGAGAAGCTTTGCCTTCCTTCCCTTTACTGAGCAGCAGATAGTGTCACGTGATCGCTGGAATCACATTTAGGCTTTCCTGGATGGGAGCCACTGTATGTATCATTTTGCACTTGAGCATGAATTACCGGTCTTTGTGGGTGTGATCAGTTTCTGCTCTCCAGAATTAGAGGGCATTTTATGAATATATTTAATGCAGAAAGATAGTTTTGTAGGTAGAGTTTCATTGGTATTGTGTGGAGTGCTGACTGCAGAAAGAACAAAGACACCTGATGGTAAAGGCGGGAGGAGGGCAACAAACCAAGAGCTGGGGCAGATACTGGCTGCTGCTCGCTGATGGAGCTGGCCAGCCTTCACTGCTTGACTAAATCCCCACAGGAAAAACCTTGAAAATCGTTGTGAAAGTATAGCGAGATGTTTTTGACATTCCGAAGTTCATTTTCAGCAGGATAGAAAGGGTGTTCACTACTACTGGTTTTATGCCTGTTGCCTTGGTGCCTGTTGTATACATGTCACCTAGCGCCGTTTCTATGGGCTGGCTACAGTACTAGGCTGAGTGCTGTGAGGAGCGCCTGGACCGCTAAGCAGCAGCGCGGTGTACACCAAGACTGTCTTTTGAACACTTTCCCATAAAGGCTTGAGAGTGACATGTTTACCGGAATAAACTTACGATGGCATAGTCTTTACAATTTAAATTGTCAACTTAATTGTCAATATCACCTTCAACTAATGATTCTTCTCTTGAGCTAAAATTGAAACACGTATGTTGTATGGGAAAATATACTTGCAACAGTATTATTGACTGGTTTTTTTTTTTTTTTTTTTTTTTTTTTTTTTTTTTTTACAGGGTTTCTTTGTGTAGCTTTGGAGCCTGTCCTGGAACTAGCTCTTGTAAACCAAGGTGGCCTCAAACTCATAGAGATTCACCTACCTCCCGAGCGCTGGAATTAAAGGCATGTGTCACCACTGCCCGGCTTATAGACCATTCTTAAAAGTATACATGTATTAACTGCTGATCCAGGAGCATGGAAGGTTTTTCCATCATCTGGAATCTCTATGATTTCCTTTTTTAGAAGTAGGTCTGTAACGGACCTTTTTTGTTGTTGTTGTTAGATATATTTCTAAATACTTAATCTGAAAGGAATTTTGAATGGTATGTTTTCCTAATTTCTTTCTCTGAGAGTATATTTGTGTTACATATGGAATCTTTTTTTTAAATACTGATTTTTGTATTCTGCAATTTTATTGTAGGTGTTCATGAGGTCTAGGAGTTTCCTAGGGGACCCAATAGGGTCTTTTAAGTAAAGAACCATGTTGTCTGCTAATAGGGGTAGTTTGACTTCTTCTTTTTCTATTTTATCTGTTTTATGCCTCCGTCTTGTCGCATTGCTACAGTTCACACTTGGAGTACTCTATCAGGGAAGGGAGAGTGGACACCTTTGTCCTGGTCCTGATTTTAAGGAAATGCTCTCGGCTTGGCTCCGTATACTGTAGCGTTGACTGTAGGTTTGTTGGGCTAGTGCTTGTCTCCGCTTACAATAATGCTGGCTACAGGTTTGTTGGGATAGCCTTAATTCCTGTGGGACATGTTGCGTCTATTCCTGAAATCTCCAGAATTATTCTTATGAACACATGTTGAAATTTATCAAATGACTTTCCAGCATCAGTTGAAAGAATTATGTGGTTTCTGTCCTTAAGTTTATTTGTATGCTGTATTATATTTATTGAATTATTATGTTGAACCAACCTTGCCTTTTGGGATGATGCCCACTTGGTCATAATGTATAAACTTCTTATTGTTTCCCTAAATTTGGTTGGCAACTATTTTGATGACAATTTTTGTATCTGTGTTCCTCAAAGAAGTTCATCTGTGGTTTTCGTCTTCTGTTGTGTCTTTGCCTGGTCTTGGCAAACTGTTTTGGTTAGTCCTTGTTGACTAATTCGTTTACCTGTGTGTGACTTTGCAGGTCCTGTTTAGCATGAATGTGATTTGGAGAAACTGTATTTGTCGTCTGAGGCAAGGGAAGGCGCCACACAGATGCCAAAGTGGTGTCCACCCGGTGGCCCCTCTGGGGTCACGGATTTTAACTGATCCAGCCAAAGTTTTCGAGCACAACATGTGGTGAGTTTCCTCCAGCATTTATTTACTTACTTACTTATTTACTTATTTATTTGGGGCGCACATGCCACAGGGTACACATGGAGGCCAGAGGACAGCTTCGGGAACTCTTTTCTCCTCACCCACTGTGTAGGGTCTGGAGATCCAGCTCTGATTAGGCTTAGCGCCAAGCACCTCTGCCCACTGAACCAGCTCGCTGGCCCAATTTTTACTTTTACATTTGATATTGTATATGTTTTTTAGATATATTTTTCACATTATTCCCAAGGAAGAATTTTATTATTTGATTTTTGAGGCAGAGTCTCTCTTTGTAGCCCTGGAACTCTCTATGTAGACAAGGCTGGCCTTGAATTTAAGAGGCCACCTGCCTCTGCCTTCTGAGAGCTAGTACTAAAGGCATGCACCACCACACCCAGCAAGGAAGGATTTTTTTTTTTTTAAGTTGATGATCTAATCTAGGTTGTAGAAGTCCAGAAGCCAGCGTAACGTGTTGCTGATTCTGAACTTCTTTGCAAATGGAAAGTGGCAGTTCCCCGGGACATCCGTTAGCCTTGGCGTCCTTGCAGGCCCCCGGCCCTGAGTGGCCAGTCTGTTGATGGGGCCAAGAGAACAGGCCTTTTTGGGACCCTTTTCCCTGTGGCCCTGTTGCTTTACCTTATCATCCTTCTGCCTCAGTCTCCTGAGTAGCTTGTATTAGAGGCCTCAGCCACCGGGCTGGAGCTCCTGTGCCCCACAGGCCCTCTTCGTACGTATCTGTCAAGTGCGCGTTCAGTGCCCTTTGCTCCTCAGCATGACCCTGCTTCATGCTTTGAAAAAGACCATGCTATTGGGGAAGATGGTCGTTTATAAAAAGGCTAATAAGTGCAACACAGTGCTTCAAATTCCAAGGGCTGAGTTTTATAGACTGTCATATAAGCAACAACTTGGGGGGACGAAGGGGAGAAGAGGAGGGGGGAACTGTGGGCTACATGTAAAATAACTAAGTTTACAAAAAGAAACAACTTAGTAATGAGAAAGTATGGACATAGGAAAGGAACTTCTTTTCTGTTCTGAGACAGTATCCTATATCTCGAGCAGGTCTTGGGCTTCCCCTGTAGCAGAGGTGGATGTGACCTTGACCCCTTGACCTTCTTGCTCCCACCTCCCAAGTGTTGGGATTGCCAGATGAGCCACCACATCCAGCCAGGAAGATTTCTCACATTGGGAAAACCTGAAATTTGAATTATTTATTTTGCTTTCAGTGCTTGAAACAGTGAGTAACACAGAAGTATATGTTGAGAACTGAGTGTGGTGATATAGGTCTTCATTCCCAGGAGATAGAGGCAGGTGAACCTCTGGGCAAGTCTTCATAGCAAGTACCAGGCCAGCTAGAGCTATGGAATGAGACCATTTCCACCCTCTCCCCACCAAAAGTATTTGTTGATATATATCACACAGATGACAGAAACATAAAATACAGAGGACGTAGAAAGCGTTTTCAGGAGATGCTAAAGAAAATTGTCTGCTGTTGTTTTTATTTTTTTTATTTTTTTATTTTTTAAGGCTCTTCCAGGAGATCAATGACCCTGACCTCCAGAGTCTTTTCTCCAGCGAGGTTGGGATGGTATAGGCCGGAGGTGGAATAGGAACGAGGTTGCCTGTGGGGCTGGATTCAGAGCTGACATTCAGGCACCACACTAGGAGGGATGACACTAGGTCCTGTATTTGCTGATGGTGTCCTTGCCCGTGAAGACTGTGAAGGAAGAATAAAGAGGAATTGGCAGAATGAAGGGAATGGAAGAATTTGATTTTGAAGTTTTGAACTTAGGTCACTGATAAAAATAGGTAAAGTCAGAGTTTATTTTGGAAAGAAGCTTATGTAGACATTTTAGATAAGCTTTGAGAAGACATTCGGCTTCAGATGTCCCAATACCGTGCTGGATCATAGCCAGGAGCCGAAGAGCGACTAAAATGCCTTGGATCCAGCTCCCACTGCGGGGAAGAAGATGATGTGTGTGACAGGCCTGAAGATGTAGCTGAGGAGGCTGCCAAGGGAGACTCAGCTCGCTGCACGGCCTGCTGTACAGCTGAGTTCTCTTCAGAGCTCCCTACTGAGGGTGCTCATGGCTTCACGCACAGTGCAGAAAATATCTCAGGACCAGTTAGTCTGAAGCAAAATCAGTGTTTATTCAGTAAAGTATGGGGTTTATGAAGAACAAAAATAATACATGTTAGGGGTGGGTGTAGTGGCACACACCTTTCATCCTAGAACTTAACAAACAGAGGCAACCAGGTCTCTGTGAATTTGAGGCCAGCCTGGTCTACATAGTGAGATCTGGGACAGCCTGAGCTACATAGCAAGATTCGACCTATAAATAAATAAATAAATAGATAGATAGATAGATAGATAGATAAATAAATAAATAAATATTACACGTTGAGATTTAAGTGTTTGTAGAGGGAGAGAGCAGGAGAAGGTTAGAAAGAATGCCCCAGCGTTAAGAAAAAGGTGGTTGCCGGGCGATGGTGGCGTGGCGCACGCCTTTAATCCCAGCACTCGGGAGGCAGAGGCAGGCGGATCTCTGTGAGTTCGAGACCAGCCTGGTCTACAGAGCTAGTACCAGGACAGGCTCCAAAGCCACAGAGAAACCCTGTCTCAAAAAACCAAAAAAGAAAAAGGTGGTTGTACAAACCAGAAGTGAGTGCTGCCTTCTGTCTTGTGTTTTGACAAGAAAGACATACATACATACCTACGGGTTTCATGGGTTTTAGAGTTATATTGTTCAAGAGATTTAAAAAATTAAATTATCTTGTTTTGTTACACTTTTTTGTACTTCTCTTTAAATTATTTTTCATGCCTATTTTTATCCATCGTACATGGTTTGAAGCCACCCTGTGGTTGTTGGGAATTGCACTGCCAACGCACTTAACTGCTGAGCCGTTGGGTTAGTGAGATGGCTCAGCAGGATAAGACACATCCCACCAAACCTAGGAACCTGAGTTTGATTGCTGAGCCCCACATGGTGGAAGGAGAGAACTGACTTCTGCAGGTTGTTACACACACACACACAGAGTGGCTTCAAGTGCTGTCCTTCTGCTTCAGCCTCCTGAGTGCCGTATTAGGATGGCTAGAACCACCACACTCTGCTTGCTTTGGGCTTCTCAGAAGATTTATAAGTTTATTCTTTTTTCTCCAAGTCCACAGTTCTATCCAAAATCTCTCGTTTTTCTCCTTGTCTTCTTTAGGAATGTGTTTTTTGTTATGACTTGTTTGATTTTTAAAAAGATTTCTAGAAAAGTGCAGTTTATTGCATGGATCGGTGTGTGAAGCCAGTATATGTGCATATAAACAAGATTGGGAGTTGAATGGTTAGTTTTACCCTCTGAGCTGTGCACCCATGGTTTCTGGGTTTTTTTTCCCCGTTTCTGTTTCTAAATGTCATTCAGACTAGCAGAATTGATTTCATGACTCCCCAGAGGGTTATGACCTTTAGTTAAGAAAACACCGAGCTAAGGCATTCTCAGGAGACTCGAGGTAAGACCTGGATGTTGCAACATGACCTGTTACATAGATCATGGGAATAATGGATCATTTCCAAAATCAGAAGAGGTACAGATGGCAGGAGTTCTCTTCATTACATAATCTTCCTTATGTAATCGCTGTGTTTACTGTCTCAGTCCATCCCCTGTTGCAGCCTCAGATCTTTAGTACAGTTAATCAATAAGTACTTCCTTTAGCTTCCTCTAGCCTGACTTACCACAAAAGACACTATCTAGACATGTAGAACACAGACTCAATAATTACCTAACTTTGAGAAGTCGCTTAATCCATCTAAAGCTCAGTTTCTTCATCTGTGAGATGGGATGATAATAGTAAAAACTGCCTCTCTGGTATTGTAAGGATTAAATGATTCTATATAATGTTAAAGTGTCTAAATATAGGAAATAAGCAATATACCACCTAAGAATTAGCTATTTTGTTAGTATTATGATCTCTGTATGTTTTACATATATTTTTGGTTATGAGCTTAGCCTTTAATGGAAAGGTCTTTGAAAACAGTACACTGTTGAAATAAGAGCAGCGGGGCTGCGTCCCCAACACCCCAGCCGCTTGGCCAGCTCACGCCCGAAATAACACCACACAAACTGTATTCATTTAAAGAACTGCTTGGCCCATGAACTCTAACCCTTACAGGCTAATTCTAGCACCTGGACTAGCCCATTTCTAATGATGTTTGTAAGCACCCCAAGGTGCGCTTACCAGGAAGATTCTAGCCTCCATCCATCGTACACTGTCTAGGAAGTTTTACCTACAAAATAAGGAAAAGAAAGGAGAGAGAAGAGTGCAGCATGTCATGTGAGTTAGTGTACTCCTTCCAGTATTTCCTTCAAGGAGTCACACATGCCTGGCCTCACAGCAGGATTGTTCAGAATTGATCCATGTTGTTCAATGTATCAATAGTTTGTTCCTTTGTATCGATAAGCTCATAATTAGAATAGTTTTTAAAGTTCTTGAAGTTTGATAATAAACATCAAGCGAATAAAACTGAGCAAAGACATCATCACTTTACCAAAGAAAACATTGTCAGGAAATAAGCTCATGGGAAGATGCTCAGTATAACTAGTCCTTAGAGGAATGCAAATTAGAGCCACAATGAAACGCAACTCATTTGAATAGCCAAAATTCAAAATACCAACCATACCAAGTGTTGGTGAGAATGGAAGGACTAGAACTTTCTACACTGCTGGGGGTAATAGGAAGTGACACAGCCACTTTGGAATATAACTTGGCAGTTTCTGGAAAAGCTAAATGTGTACCCACTATTGATACACAAGGTGGGGCTGGAGAAATGGCCTAGTGGTTAGAGCATCTGCTGCTCTTCTAGAGAACCTGAGTTCAGTTCCAGGCACCGTGTCAATCAACTCCCAGCCATCTGTGACTCCAGCTCCAGAGGATACATCACGCTCTCTGCCACACATGCGCAAACATACATACACCTGAATAAAAAATTTAAAAAAGATAT